TAAAACCTATATTATCTTTTAATAACTTTGAAAAAAATTATTCATGCATTTTTAACATCGAGGCTAGACTATTGTAATTCACTGTAATACGGGATTAGCCAATCAGCTTTATCCCGGTTACAGATGGTACAAAATGCGGCGGCAAGACTTCTGACATGTACTAAAAAACGGGACCATATTACTCCAGTGCTACACACTTTGCACTGGCTGCCTGTACGATACCGTGTTGATTTTAAAATTATTCTCTTAGTATTTAAATCTTTAAATGGTCTGGTCCCTCCTTACCTTTCAGATTTACTGACAGAACATCGTCCAGTTGTGTCTCTCCGGTCGTCTAATCAGATTGCTACGTATTCCGAAATCAAAGCTGAAAAGTAGGGGTGACCGTGCCTTTTCAGTAACTGCTCCCAGATTGTGGAATGCACTACCCTCCAATATTAGATTTGCTCCGACCATATCTGTTTTTAAATCTAGGTTAAAACTTACCTTTTTGAACTGGCATATGGTCAATAATGAAAAGTATTGTGTGTTTTTGCTTTTATGATTTTCTTAATTATATATTTATATTTTTACTGTCTCTTGTATTGGTGTAAAGCACACTGGTCAACTGTTGTTGTGTTTAGTTGTACTATAGAAATAAAATTGACATTGACATTGTGTTTGGTTTATGTCACAATTTGTCACATGTGGAAAACACAATTGAAAATATAATTTTCAATTCCTTTTGAAAATTGTCTGGAATATCCTTCCATAGACAGGCTCTATAGCAGAGCACACTGCTCTCAGTGTTTGACGATAGTTCACCCAAAAATTAAAATTCTGTCATTGATTACTCACCCTGTTCTGAAAGCTCTCGGATTTCATCTAAAATATCTTAACTTGTGTTCTGAAGATGAACGAAGGTCTTATGGGTTTGTAACGACATGAGGGTGAGTAATAAATTACAGAATTTTCATTTTTGGGCGAACTATACCTTTAACTACCCTAAGCAGTGTGCATCTACCTAGGAGTCTTTATATACTTGATATAAATTTTAGGACATCTTTAAATGACTTAGCATTCTCTGTCTTTTTAAATTTTAATTCTCAATGTCATTTCACTGTGTATTTAAATAGTTAAACATGTTAAAACGTAATAGTTAAACAGTTAAACAGACACATGTCATTCAGAACTAATTTTCTTATTTATTGCAACTGTATTTCTGTGATTTTTTGCATTTGCTGGAAAAAAAGAAAATTGCATGTTGTTTGTCATTGCTACAAATTTTAACATTTGTGAATGTCAGTTGGCATTAAAAATAATTTTTAACAGTCTAAATAGGCTGTATTCTTCATTATTTATTAATCCATGTCTTGTTAAGCATAGGCGAAATTATGAGAATAACCCAGCAAGAATAACCAAGAAACACAAAAATGCAAACACATAAATGGTAAAAATTACTATATCTTGGGTTTTCTCAACAACTCAGCCTGCTGGGTTAAAATGTATAAACCAGCATGTGTTCTGTCCAATATTTACCCAGCATTGGGTTGCCAATTGGGTTATTTTTAACCCAGCCATTTTTAGAGTGATAAACATGGACCCCATTTTAGTAAATGATGACTTCATTTTCAATTTAGAGTGAACTAACTAGAATTTTTCTCTTTTTTTCAAGTACAGAACAGATGCACACACACTCTAAAAAAATGCTGGGTTAAATACAACCCAGTGCTGGGTAAAATAGGGACAAACCCAGCAATTGGGTTGTTTTGACCCAGCGGTTGGGTTAAATGTTTAACCCAACCTTCTGGGTAGTAACCCAACCGCCGGGTCAAAACAACCCAATTGCTGGGTTTGTCCCTATTTTACCCAGCACTGGGTTGTATTTAACCCAGCATTTTTTAGAGTGCAGATGCTGTTCCCTTGTTTACGTAAGCAATAAGGTACTCGAGGCCGTGCTGTATGGTGAATAAATCACGGCTGAAGGGCATTGTTAGGCATGACACGAATCATACCTGAAACAGAAAACTAATGAATACAGTAATATTCCCTCTTCGGAAACTGTAGGCTTCCCCACAGACGCGTACACACATCAACATATCTCTGCATGAGAAGCATTTATTAGACGGGGGAAGGGCGGGGTCTCAAAATTAAAGATGAAAGATGCAACATAACGCCAGCAGGGGTCACTCATACTTCATTAAATAAATACCAAACAGTTAATTCTGCCGAAATACATAATACATTAAACAGTTTTGATGCTATATTATTGATTGTTTATGTTGCTAAGGGTGTTGCTCAGTGATAGACAGAATCGTTGGGTGAAGCGGTCATAGCTGTGCTGTATCGTGAATAAAACACAGCTGCTGACCAATCAGAATTCAGGAATGGAACTAACCGTTTTTTAATGAGTAACAAATGTATAGTTTCAAAGAACAAATGTATTGTTATTGAGTAGAAAAGAATATTTGATTTTGGCTGAATGCTGGAGAAGCTTTTATTAAGAAAATGTGTGTGGTGGCTTCTGCTGCTTCTGTCAGAAATCACTCTCCAAGTCTTGAGGTTTTGATGCTATGATAGATAGACTTTATTATCCGAGATAATGAAGCCAAGAAACTCTGCAGAGAACGGACACTGAACCCAACAGCACTGACAGAAGTGATCAATCAGAAGCTCATCTGGCCTGAACTTATAATCCAAATTTACTGGAAATGTCTCTGTGTTGAATCTACAGCTGATGTCAGACATTATAGCAGGAAGTTCTTGTCTCATCACCTCTTCTAGCAGTTTGAAATCATCAACATCATCATGATTGACTCCAGTGAGGTGTTTTTCAGAGAAGATCAGCTCATCTGAGAGCTGCTGTGTGAAACTCTTCAACCACAAACCAGCATCTCCTCTGTTCACTTGAACATGTTCAGTAGATTCACGAGCTGCTCTCATGATCTTCTGCTCCATGAATCTAATGTTCATCTTCATCTTGTGTAAAACACTGACACTGAACTGATCAGTGATGTACCGACTGACTTCATCTCTGATGAAACCACTGAAGTGATCTCTGGCATTATGGATGTAGTTCATGTATTTGTTGAAATCCTCCTCTTCTGCCAGTGTCTTCAGGATGTGTTTCTCCAGATTTGATCTGTTTCCATTCAGTGATTCACAGTTTGATCTCATATCATCTGCTAAATCTCTGGCAGTCTTCTTATAGACGCTCTGCTCAATGGGCTCTTTCAGTTTCTCACAGATAATCTGGAGTCTCAGTTTCTCTTCAAGAGTCTTCTGCTGATCTTCTCTCATCTTTCTTTCTTCTTTCAGTCTGTTCTCTGAATCCTCCAGTTGTTCTCGTCTCTCTCTTACTATTCTTTCTTTCTCTCTGACTATTCCCTCCATTTCACTCTGCAGTCTCTGAATCTGTTTGTCTTTCTCTCTTATTTTCTCGTCCTCTTCTTCTCTTCTCGTCTTTTCCTCTAGTTTCTGTTTCTCCCATTCCTCTCGTTCCTCTTTCATCTCTCTCATTTCTCTTTTATATCTCTCTTCTCTCTCATTAAACTCTTCTTCTCTTCTCTTTCTCTCATTGTCATTATGTTGTTTTTCATTCTCTATTCTGTTCATCAGTCTGTCTATTTCTGTCTGTAGATTTTCTTTTTCTTTCTTCACAGTCTCCTTTTCTTGCCTCATTTCATCTTTAAGCATCTCTCTGTCTCTTTTCATCTCGTCTCTAATCTGCTCCTGTTCCTTCATTTGTTTTTTATATCTCTCTTCTCTCTCATTAAACTCTTCTTCTCTTTTCTTTCTCTCTGTTTCATGATTCTGTCTTTCATTCTCTATTCTATTCATCAGTTTGTCTATTTCTGTCTGATATTTGATCTGCAGTTTCTCTTTCTCTTTCTTCATTTCCTCTGTCTCTTGTCTAAATGTCTCTCGTTCTCGTCTCATCTCGTCTCGTGTCTCTGTCTGTTGTTTCTCTTGTTCTCTTATTTCTCTTTTCAGTTCCTCTTCTCTTCTCTTTCTCTCTTTGTCCTGATTCTGTCGTTCTTCCTCCATCATCATCTTCACTCTCTCTTTCTCTTCCTCATGTTTCTTCATCTCTTCCTCTCTTTCTCTCACTCTGTCCATCAGGATCTTCATTTGTTGTTCTTGTTTTTCTCTCTCCATCTCTCTGAACATCTTACATGAGTAGAAACTCCCTCCGTTTTCTTTCACCATGTCATCTATCTTCTGCAGTAGATCAGTCACCTGTGTTCGGTCTGCAGTCTGATTATTACTGAACACATGATATCTGTTTCCACACGCTTCAATCAGCTTCATCAGAGGAGATCCTGGTTTTCCCAGAAACTGTTCAATGGTTTTGTCCTTCAGATCGTCTCCTCTGGTGAAGAGCACCACGGTGAACATTAAAGATTTATCACCAAACGTCTCTTGGATGATCTTCAAAGATGTTGCCTCTTCTTGAGTGAATCGTTGTCCTAAATTGAGCACAATGATGAACACATGTGGTCCAGGCAGGATCATGGAGATGCAGTGTCTGATTTCTCTCTGGATCTCCTCGTTAGTAAGTTCAGTATCAAACAGTCCTGGAGTGTCGATCACAGAAACACTAACGTAACGCATTACTTTCCATCAAAAGTAACTAAGTAACGTAAATAGTTACTTTTTTATGGAGTAACGCAATATTGTAATGCATTACTTTTAAAAGGAACTTTCCCCAACACTGCCTATGTGTAACTTTTTTTAATTGACGCACAAGGGTTAAGTGAAAATCTCCAGTCATTGCATTTGTGCGTTTATGTGAGTGTGCGGCAGGAAAAGCACACAAGAGTAATTTTGAAACATAAACAAAATTGTGACTTGAAACACAATACTTTCTTTACAGAGGTGAATATCTCTGTTCTGAGACAGACAGTATTATACAGCCTAGAATGCGTGCAAAGAGCGCTCCCTTTATAATCACTTAAAACTGTCACTCACTTCAGTTCATTGCGATCTCATGACGTTCCGTTAATAAGCTCTTTATAAGCTCACTGCACAATGAATCTCTTATTTACATCGTATCTACACTTTGTTATAATGAGATGATTCCCGAGCTTGCAGAACTCAGCACTTGACAAAAACGCGGCATTTTGAGCGGATTCTAACTTAAAGAGGACCTATTATGCAAAAATCCCTTTTATGAGGTGTTTAACCTCATAACCTGTTTAACCTTTTATTCACTGTTTTTTGAATAGTTTCAAAAAGCTATTTGGACATATGAGGGAGTGTTTCTGTGCCAAAGATCTTACTTCCGGGTTCGTACAAGTTTCAGAGAGTTTTTTTCGATCGTGGCTCTTCATGACGTAATGAAGGGTGGAACTCCTTATATGGGCATTTCTCCCGGAAGAACACGCCCACGCACACATCGACCAGAGCGAGAGCAAGATCGCGCCCATCACCGCGCTTCATCCGGCAGCACTGCACGGGACTCGCTCGGGAAGAATGTCTCCAAAAAAGTGTGTTTTTG